CTAAACCCTAAGGCCTAAGCCCTAAAAAATCAGAAAAACTTAAAAAACCGTGGCTTACAATCTTCGAGGCTCAGAGTTGCGAGCCCCTGAGTCCGAATCCTCCCTGGACCCCAAGGCCTCCCCCCACGCCCTGAACTACCCAGGAACTCCAATATCCCCTAAGTAAGGAATATACTTTAAATCATTATAAAGGATCCTACTGTAATTTAAGCAATATTCCTTAATTAAGGGATATTGGAGTCTCGGAATTATGGCTTAGGGCTTATATGGTTTAGGGCTTATAGGGTTTAATAGGGTTTATGGGGTTTATAGGGCTTATAGGGTTTAGGGTTTATAGGGCTTATAGGGTTTACGGGGTTTATAGGGTTTATAGGGTTTAGGGCTTATAGGGTTTATGGGTTTATAGGGCTTATAGGGTTGATAGGGTTTAGGGTTTATAGGGTGTAGGCTTTAGGGGAACCTTTGTCATAGATGCGTAAACTTTTACATTTTAATGGGTACTTAAACCTAGTATGGAATAGAAGCTATAATAGAAGTGTGCCTTTTTACTACGTATCGCAGGCATGAACAGGGAACCATGCCCCAAAAATGACTGCGTTTGAGGGGGCGTGCCAAAAGAAATTTCTGAAAGTGTGGGTTATTCGGTGGATCTGGTACCCTGAATCAAAGCTGTGAAGCCATTTATACAACGTCGCAAAACCCTATAGTTACAAGCCTCTAGCACTAATAGGCATACGAATACTAGCGTATAGCCTTCTTATAGTAAAAGTAAGAGTCATAATAGCTATAGTCATAGTAATCGTAGCACTAGTAGGGTTTGGGGGTTTAGGGTTTAGGGTTTAGGGATTAGGGTTTAGGGTTTAGGGTTTAGGGTGCAGATTTATAAACCTCCTATGACTCCTATGTGCACTGGATCATGCAAATTATATAAACCCTGCCACAGCGATTTTGCCAGCTTCAAGCAATCCTCTGTACAGACCCTGCCAGCATGGATGAAGCCGAGCAAAACCCGGATAGAAGGTGGTTCTGGGTCCAGGACAGCTTAGGGCGCTGGTCCCAGCATTGGCATTCTTGGTGGCGAAGCTTGGAGCTACTTCGCCGTGACCATGTCTGGTCGCAAGACCTTGGAGATTCGCAGCCTGCCCTTGACGGCCAAGCCGTACTACATCTGCCATGCCGGCATGGTGCACGGCGTCATCACAACGGGGATCCCAATCGCCATTGAGAGCCGCGAGCAGTGGCTCAGATTGCTGCCGCAGCATCTTTGGGACGTGCCACAAACGCCATACGAGAAGACCTGGGCCCTTCCCGTGTCAAACCCGTTGGCTCTGCCAAAGCCCGTGCCGTACAAGGCGGCGCACGGTCAGCAAGGCACCAGCCATAATAGTAGTAGTCATAGTAACCGTAGCACTAATAGAAATACGAAAACTAACATATAGCCTGCTTATACAGCCCGAGCTGCTGCTGCAGGGATCGGCATCCTCCGTGGCTTTGGTGGAGCAGCCCGAGACTTTGGCGGCATTGAGGTGGAGGGTTGAGGCGTGAATGCGGAGGGTTGAGGGTTTAGGGTCTTAAGGTTTTAAGGATCCTTTAAGGGTTCAGGCTTGAATGTTGAGGGTTCAGGGTTTAGGGTTTAAGGTTCCTTTAGGGGTTCAGGATTGAAGGTTGAGGGTTCGGGGTTCAGGGTTTCGGGCCGTTTATGGTTTAGGATTGTGTAATGTTTAGGGTCTAGGGTTTAGTAGTTTTGGAGGTTTAGGTTCTATAGGGTTTAGGTTGTTCAAGGTTCTTTAAGGTAACCCTAAACCCTAAACCCTAAACCCTAAACCCTAAACCCTAAACCCAAGGGATCCGGAAGCTTGGAGGGTTCAAGCTCAGGAGACTGAGGTTTTGGTTTATATGGGTAGTTCTCTAAATTGGGTCCCTTTTGGGGTACCCTAAATAATAGGTGCCGTATTATAATAAGGACCCAAAAAGGGACCATAATTTTGACAACCACCCATATGGGTAGTTCTCTAAATTGGGTCTGATTGGGTCCCCTTTAGGGTGGTTTTTAGAATTTAGGATTTAGGGTTTAGGGTTTAGGGTTTAGGGTTTAGGGTTTATCCCTTTATTTAGGGTCCTTTATATAAGGGTGCCGTACTATATTGGGGACCTGAAAGGGGACTTATTTAGAGAACTACCCCTATAGGAGCTCGTATCGGGGTTCCTTGTTCATGATCGACGCTTTCGGCGTTTAGGATTTGGAAGATTCAGGGCGCAGTATAGCCCTTAGCATCAAAATAGCCCGCAAGCCTCTTATAATAGGGTCTTTGAGCCCAAAAGCCTTAAAATATGAGTCCCTTGATGGTAAGGGTAGGGTTTGATAAATGGCCTGCGTTTTGCGGCCAAATCTTGGCTTTACGATCCTGGTTGGCTGGAGAGCTGTGGTGGCGCTGTTTGCGCCTTTGTTTTTTTGCATACAGTCAGTTATTCTTCAAGTCCTTATCGGTGTTAACTGCAATCGGATATTATGCCCAGAACCCTGCCATAGTTACTCGCCCCATTTGTATTACCTACCTTAACCTACCAAAACCTTCCTTTTTTCAGGGTCCCTATAAATTCCATATTAGGGTTTATAATAAGAACCTACAAAAAAGTAGGGTTTGGTAGCTTAAGGTAAAAGCAAGTCTCTGATTTCAAGCCCTCAACTAAGGATCGCGCCACTGAGCTTCCTGATGAGCTCCTGGCGGTGGCATTCTCCGCCAATGGCCACCCAGTCGCAGTAATGGGCACGAAAGAGAATCTTCAAGAGATCCTTTGCTGCTTTTATTATAAGGGCCTTAGTCAGAGCACTATAGTTTGGGGAAGTATCCTAAACCCTAAACGCTAAACCCTAAACCCTATCCCCCATATCGGTGCTTAGGAGCCATTGGTCGTGGGAATTGACAACTCTACTTCTTGCTAACCCTGAACCTTCTAAACCGTAAACCCCAAACAACCCCTAAACCCTAAACCCTACACTAAGCTCTAAGAGCGACGTTATCGCTTTTTGAAAGTCCGAGATTCATCTTTCTGGTGCATAGTGGCCTGAAGCGATTCGGGGGATTCCGAAAATAGGGGACCCTAATATACTACCCTGAACAGTAGGATCCTTATTATAAGGAACCCAAAATAAGGTATCCCCCCCTTATTTTCGGAAACTCCCATTCAGAGTTTAGGGTTTAGGGTTTGCGGTGAAGAAGTCGACCAGGGTTTCGGAGTGCACTGTAGCAGAAGTCTGCTAAGGAGTACTACGGTTGATGATACAAATCCTGCAGTACCTTAAGGACCCTAAACTACGGGAATTTTGGCATATCCCTTATGATCGGTATTGCAGGAATTTGTCATCAACCGTAGGGCATGAAATTGGTATTTATTCACACCCCTGGATTAAAGCTGGGCCGTGGATTCTCGTTCAACCAGCCATAATCTTCTCAACCGGCTCAGCAAACAGGCAAGTACATCAATGTGGCTTTGCTGAACCACACCATTGTGGTTCTCTTCGAGGACTCGTCTGGGACTTAGTTGAAGGCGAGCGCCCAACCTCACAGCTTGCACCCTCAAATCTAACCCTGATACTGGTAACAGCCTACAACTTAAGACTGTACCCTATACCCTGGGACCGTTGCCTGTCTCGACCCTTTACCAACATCATCTCGAATGCTGAAGCTCTGGGGACAAAAAGCCCTATATGCCTGTCACTTACGCTAGTTAGTTGAATAGGGCTCTGAGTAACCATAGGTTCAACCCAAGAGCCCCTAAAACTCGAAAGCCAAGCCCCATATACAGGTGCCAGATCAGAACTACAATGGGCTAATGTGAAATTGCAATCAACAGCCCGGTATTGTTGGAAATGAAATATTCAAGCTTTATTGAAAAAGTTGAGGGGGTCTGGAAGACACTGTGAATCCTTCGATCCCTAATCTCGGTCCTAAACCTAAAAGGTTGGGTGAGGCTTTAGGGTTTAGGCATGTTTAGTCCCAGCATGTCCTAAGCACTTACATATCGGGAGTTGTCGAAAGTAGGGTTGATATAGAGTACCGTTATGGTTTGAGCAAGTCCCCCCCCCCCCCCCCGCATAGGTACTTCGGACCGTCTGAGAGTACCGATTTTCCCACCCCAGAAACTTCATCCTGGAATCGACAAGGGGCGCGAAATAGGCTGGAGTTTTTTGCAGACGGGGCCACCAGGGTCCCATTTGAACTTATGGTTGGGGGACTTAGTTAGTCAGTAGTTATCCCATATAGTGTTACGTTGTTAGATAGTCTGAATGATTGTCCTTGCTAGCCCTAATTGCCTAATTACCTTAGGTAGTCGCTTGACCCCATCAAGTAGGTTAAGGTATGAATCCGCAACGTTGTGAGTGTAGCGGAATGTATCTTCGCAGTTGCCATAGCTGTGTGGCCCTACACCCTAAACCCCATACCCTCGGAGCCTTTGTCGGCACAGTCGCAGGTTGCTTGAGATTGGGGCCCATCCAAAGTGCCTTCTTAAACCCCTTAAACCCAAAAGACCCAGTCCCATAAATCCCGAACCCGCAAAAAGACACAACTAAGCCCCAAACCCTGAAGCCCGAACAAAAGCCACAAAACCTGAAGCCCTAAACCCGAAACCCGGCAGTTGAACTCTGCAAAATAACTACTGACTAAGTCTTCCGACCCCGAAACCCTACAAAACCCTCAACCCCTTTCGGGTTTAGGGCGTAGGCCTTCCCCAAGACCCACTAAACCCTAAACCCCTAAACCCTAAACCGAGCGAGGTTGAAGTTCTACCTTTCCTTGTACGGCCACCGCTTGCCGGTCATGGCTTTGGATGTCTCCGACGACTCGCAGATGACGCCTCGCCTTGAGATAAGGGTTTAGGGTTTGCGGTTCAGGGTTAGGGGCCTTCGTAATTTCAGTATAATTATGGCATAATATACCCCCAAACCCTATTCTAATTGTTAAGACCCTTAGAAAAGGGTTCCTTGAAGAGTTACTGTAAGGCTTCCTTTAAGGGTTACCCTACATTAGAGCCGCCGAGGTTGCGGCACTATGTTTGGATTTGGGTGTCGTTTCAGGGCTCATGTGCAGTGCAGTGTGGACGAATGTGACGAACTTATCTGCAAAAGAATGACTTACTAAGTCTTCCGACCCCGAAACCCCTAAACCCTAAACCCTAAACCGCAAAACCCTCAACCCCCTTCGGGTTTAGGGTTTCGGCCTGTGCAAAATGTCGGCCTTCAGCTTCAGAGTTGCTCTATGAAGGTGCAGGGCTTTGGGCCCTGGGGGCTGTATATCAGGACCCTAAACCCTAAACCCGAAAAGCTAACCGGTTTAGGGTTTAGGGTTTAGTAACCCCGAAACCTGGGGGCTGTAGAATTTAATTAGGGTTTAGGGTTTAGGGTTTAGGGTTTTTGGTTTAGGGTTTAGGGTTTAGGGTTTAGGGTTTAGAGTTTAGGGTTTAGGGTATTGTGAGGATTGCATGGGGAGGGTTGAAGTGGCAGGACTCCACGGCTCTAAACTCCATGCTTCGACGCCTAAGGGCTTTCTCTGCATTCCTTGGGGTTTGAAGTGGGCCCTAAACCCTAAACCCTAAACCGTATAAACTCATAAACCCTATGAGCCCTATAATTAAACCCTGTAAACCCTAAACCCTGAAGCCTGAACTTTTCAAACCCTATAAACCCTACACCCTAAGCCCTGAACCCTAAGCCCTAACCCCTAAACCCTAAGGGAGAGGTTCTGAACTCTTGGCTCACGCGCTCAGGATTGCCTCAGGCTCAGCGGACAAGAACGTCAGGCAAGCCCACCACGGGCTCCATAGGGCTTTATAGGGTTTAGGGTTTAGGGTTATGGGTGTAAATGGGTGTTATAGTGAATTCCAAAAGAGCATGCCTAACATGGTTTTGGGGACCTGATTCCAGAATGGTAGTGTAGATGGTTAAAGTTCTTGCAGTTCATAAGGCTCTACGCGAGATTCTCAATGGATTAATGCAGTGCTCACGTACGCTGGGTGGCGCTCTGATAAAAAAACGGCAGACATACCTCAGAGCAGTTGTAACTGCCAAACCCCCCTAAACCTTAAGCCCAACTAAGTCAAGGGAAGACCCACTTCTATCCACCATTTAAATGCTTGCCTCGAGGTTTCTTTGCGGTGCTTGATCTGATTCTGAAACTTCGGGTTATCCAAAACGCCTTTGCCGAATCGAACAGCCTGGATGTTTTTTCGGGTCGGGCATGGTTTCAGGATTTAGAGATCAAGGTCTGGCATAAATGATTTTAAGTTGGGTGTAGGGTCCTCGGAACGTGCAAAGTTTCACTGCAAAATCATTTTCCAAAAGAGCACAGGCAGCCAGGTCGTCATTCTCTCGATCTCGACGGCCAACCTGGCTGAAGATCGAAGCCTACGCCGGGTTAAGTTACCACGACTTCACCCGCGCACAGTCCGAAATAATTGAAAAGAGCGAGCTTGTCCGAAATACCAAGATCGATCCGGCGGTCACCCCAAAGTCTTCCCCAGTAAGTGTCGCTAGTACCAGAACAAAGGCAACATGCCCCCAGCTCTTGCAACGGCCAGTTTGTGTATATGCAACCTTAAAACGAGGCTGAGAACGAAAGCACACACCACCACTGAACTTGCACCCAGGCAGCCATACCTATGGTGGACAAAATTCGGCATATGCTGAAGTACTCTGAACAATGCGAGCGCATGATGCAGGAGTTTGTCCATCAAATTGCTTGATCAATTGGGCAAGACGTTGACAAAACAAGCACGACAACTGAAAACTTAGGCTTTTTTTTAGCACGTCATACAAGCTAGCAGAACCCAAACCTTCAGTTAAACCCTCTGCACCCTAAACCCTAAACCCCCTGCACCCTAAACCCTAAACCCCCTGAACCCTAAACCCTAACCCTGCAACCCTCTTGGAGGCTCTGGAGCACTCAGTTCGGCAACTGCCTGAAATCCCTGAAGGCACACGAGGAGAGTGTGATGCAGGTCCGCAGGGCCCGGAACAAAGGACCAGCATAGACTTTGGGGGTTTAGGATTCCTATAAGGGTTTAGGGTTTGGGGAAGGGCCCCTTTAAGGGAGCTACAGGGGTACTATAAGGGATAGGGGTTTAGGGGACGTAGAGGTTTATGAAATTAGGGACTAGGGTTATAAATAAGGTAACTAGACTTACAATTACGTACAATCCCAAGTAGGGTGATTATAACCTGACTTGTTCAGTCTCATGACCCTCCAAGCATAAGCCGTTAAGGCTCTGGGGGTTTAGGATTCCTTCAAGGGTTCCTGTAAGATTTCCCTTCAAGGGTTCAGGGTTTGGGATTGGTTAAGGGGTTTGGGGTTTAGGGTTTAGGGACTCATGTCTACACTGCGTCTCTCTATTTCTCTTCCTCTTAGTATTCCTCTTTTTCTCGTTTCTCTCGACGTACATGTGCACATATATAAGTACATACATTTATGTGTGCGAACTATAACATATGTGCTTTGGGCAGCCCGGAGGGGACGGGAGTAAGGGTTTGTAAATCGGTTGGGGGAGTTATTGAGTAAGCAATGGCTACCGTCATAAGATGGAGATTGGTGGAGCTGATTGGTCTTCAGTACATGCCCATGCTTTGATTGACCGGCACCCGGAACCTGTGTTATTCCAGCGAAACTACAATCTAACCTGAGTTGAACATATTGAACTTGAAGGTCAAGTTCCTACCAGGGACGCACTACCTTGCCACGGCCGGGCGCGATCACAAGCGCCGTGGCTGAAAAGGGTCGGCTTAATGTGGTTAGTGTAGGATCATTCGCCAGGAGAGCTTATGCAGTGCAACGTGCAGAGAGCCTTTGGCTTCTGGGTATCTGCATCTCAGTACAACCCTAAACCCTAAACCCTAAACCCCTAAACCCCTAAACCCCTAAACCCCTAATCATCTAACCTGGGCAGACAAAGGCAGAAGCCCAGGCTTCGCCGCATTTGAGCAACACCACCGTTAGAATTACAGCTGCAACCAACAGCAGCAACGAAAAACTAGCAAGAAGAGCCAAACTCAACCAAGTTCGCTCTCCATGGCCAAGACTAAACCGAACATGAAACCACCTAATCCGCAAACCCATGAAGACTAAACCACCCAAAAACTCCTAACCCCAAACCCTGAACCCCTAAACCCGAAGCCTTAAGCCTTAAATCCTAAACCTTTAAACCCTAGCCCTAAACCCTAAACCATAAACCCTTGAACCCTAAACCCCAAACCCGAAACCCTAAACCCTAAACCCCCAGACCCTAAACTAAACCCCCAACCCTAAACCCTAAACCCTAAACCCCGAAAAAGGCTGAAACTCTGGGATTGCGACTCCTAAACCCTAAACCCAAAACCCGAAACCCTAAACCCTAAACCCCCAGACCCTAAACTAGACCCCAAACCCTAAACTTTAAACCCTAAACCCCGAAAAAGGCTGAAACTCTGGGATTGCGACTCCTAAACCCTAAACCCCAAACCCGAAACCCCAAACCCTAAACCCCCAGACCCTAAACTAAACCCCAAACCAAGAAGCCGAACGAGGCTGAAGCTCTGGGATTGCGACTCCTACGAGCTCATCACGGCTCTTCCGGGCCATGCCTGCGAGATCCTCGCCATGGCTTTGAGCCAGGCGCCTTTGCCTTTTTTAGGGTTTAGGGTTTAGGGTTTAGGGGTTTAGGGTTTAGGGTTTGGGTTTATGGTTTAGGGGCCTTTGCTGTTAGTTTAAGAAGGTTTGGGGGGGTTTCGAATGTAGGTTTTCAGGTTTAGGGTATTAGGGTTTGGGCTGTTAGTTTAAGAGGCTTGGGGTTTCCGAATTTAGGGTTTAAGGTTTAGGGTAGTAGGGTTTCGGGCTTGGGCTTTGAGCCAGGCGCCTTTGTCATGTTGTTAGTTTAAAAGGTTTGGGGGGTTTCGGGTTTAGAGTATTAGGGCTTAGGTTTAGGATTTCGGGTTTAGGAATTAGGGCTCAGGGCTTAAAGTCTAAAGCTTCGTTAGTGTTCGTTTTGATGTGTCTGTTTTCGGCGTTGTTGTGTTGTGTTGCGCCTTGTCTGCGCGTGCCTTTTCGCTTCAGGGCTTGAGCGGGGTTGGGGTTTGGCATTTCAGGGATTAGGTGTGGCTTTTCTTGCTGTCCGGGTTTGGCAATTTAGGGTTGGGGGGTCTAGTGTTTATTGTTGCACCGTTTCTTTGATATCTTGGTCACCGGAATTCCCGGGCTGTGTTTTGCCAGATGGACCAGGGAGTTGCAAGATTTGGTGCTGTCGCGTGTTTCAATATAAGGTTTATGTGGCATGTTGGAGGTTTGTTCTAGTCAGGCGCTGAGGTTGACTTGAGAGATCAGAGGCAGTCTAATGTGTCTCTCTTAGGCTTGTATCGGGTCTTATAAGGTTCTACGAACTTATCTGGGGCTTGTAGAGGATTCTATAAGTGTTTGCGATAGGTCATCAGGATATACCTTAACCCTAAACCTGTAGCAGCCTTGCAGCCCTAGGCCAAAAACGTAAAGCCCCACACCCACAGCTTGAACTCCCAAGCCCAGCACCCTAAGACCTTAATCTGCTGACCCTATAGCATGTATCCAAAGAGCTTTGAGCCATAAACTCAAATATACCATCCTAAACTCCTAAACCCCTAAACCCTAAACTCCTAAACCCCTAAGCCCTAAACCCAAAGCCCTGAAGCCCAAAACCCAAGCCTCAAAAGCCTCAACCCTGAGACCTACC